CAGGGAACATGCAGAATGCTCGCAGGTCTACGGGGCACTACGCGAATCTGTTTCGCAGAGTCGCCGGGAAAACAGATTCTGGGGCAAGCCGGTTCTGTAGTCGATGCCCTGCCGCGCCGTGCCCGCCACCGTCAGCACGCAGGCCGTCCTCTCGATCCTCCTCCTCCTCCTCCTCCTCCTCCTCCTCCTCCTCCTCCTCCTGCTGCTCGTGCTCCTCCTCCTCCTCCTCCTCCTCCTCCTCCTCCTCCTCCTCCTCCTCCTCCTCCTCGTCCACCACCTCCTACTCCTCCTCCTCCGACGACGACGGACGACGAGCTCGAAATGTCCAGTCGAGGCTGGGCTTTCCAGCCGAGGGAGGCCTGGATGCGGGGCGAGCGGCCGGCGGAGAGATGGGGGCGGGGGGGAACCTGCAAGGCCGGGGGCAGGGCGTCGGAGGAGGCTCTCTTCTTCCTCCTCCTCAAGAAGCGCCGAGGTAAGGCGAAGCCAGGCCGAGGATGAGATCCGGTGAAAATACATCGAGAATCTCTGAGGTCCCGCGGATCTGGAGGGTGCCTCGGGCGCCGCGGCCATCTCAGAGCGTTCCGGAACGCTCTGAGAGCGTTCGGGAACGCGCTGGAACGGATTTGTCCTCGCCCTAGCCCCGTCCGACAGGACATCTACATGGGCGCGTCTTGGCCAGCATTTCGATGCGCATCCAAGCGTGGCGAGGAGAAGTCGGGCACCCCCGGAAGAACTCTCAACGATGCGCAGCTGCTGGAAACCACCCCCGGGCCAAAAAACGTCCCAAACATCCAGAACCTCACCATAAAAAAAGCGTGGCGGTGCCTACCGTGCCAGCCTGGTTACCAACTGGCATAGCAGACAGACACAGGACGGCCCCAAGACCCTCCCAAGCACCACTGGACTGCATCCTACGGCACCGCCATCCCTGGCGGTGGCAAGCTTCGGAAGACGACGACGCAGAGCAAAACTCCCCCAGCCCTGCCCGCGCCTTCTTGAGCGAGTCAACCTCGCCAGCACGCGCTTCCTTGCGCACCTGGCGGCCGGGCCAGGCACCCGGACCCAAATTAACCCCTGTCGCCTTAGCGAGCATCCTCCTCCTCCTCCTCCTCCTCCTCCTCCTCCTCCTCCTCCTCCTCCTCCTCCTCCTATTCCTCCTCCTCCTCCTCCTCCTCCTCCTCCTCATCCTCCTCCTCGTCCACGCGCCTCCTCCCCTCATAGAAACCTAAGCCTCTTCCGCCGCATCCCCACCTCCTTCTCTCCTCCTCCTCCCTCCTCCTCCTTCTCCTTCTCCATCTCACCCACCTCACCTCCTCCTCCTCCTCCTCCTCTCCTCCTCCTCCTGCTGCTACCTGCTCCTGCTCCTCTTCCACCCACCTCCACTTCCTCCCCACATCATCCTCATCCTCCTCCTCCTGCTGCTCTGCTCCTCCCCTCCTCCTCCTCCTCCTCCGCCTCCTCCTCCCCCTCCCCCTCCTCCTCCTCCTCCTCCTCCTCCTCCTCCTCCTCCTCCTCCTCCCTCCTCCTCCTCACCTCCTTCCTCTCCTCCTTCCTCCTCCTCCTCCTCCTCCTCCTCCTCCTCCTCCTCCTCCTCCTCCTCCTCCTCCTCCTCCTCCTCCTCCTCCTCCTCTCCTCCTTCCTCCTCCTCCTCCTCCTCCTCCTCCTCCTCCTCCTCCTCCTCCTCCACCTCCTCCTCCTCCTCCCTCGACCTCCTCCTCCTCCTCCCCTCCATCCCCTCCTCCTCCTCCTCCTCCGCCTCTTTCTCCTCCTCCTCCTCCTCCTCCCTCCCTCCTCCTCCTCCTCCTCCTCCTCCTCCTCCTCCTCCTCCCTCCCCTTCCCCCCCTCCTCCTCCTCCTCCCTCCACCTCCTCCTCCGACCTCCTCCTCCTCCCTCCTCCTCCTCCTTCTGCCCCCTCCTCCTCCTCCTCATCCTCCTCCCTCCTCCTCCTCCTCCTCCTCCTCCTCCTCCTCCTCCTCCTCATCCTCATCGTCATCATCAGAATCACCATCACCAGCATCATTATCATCCTCCTCATCATCACCATCATCATCAGCCGCATCAGCATCAGCATCAGCATCAGCATCGTCATCATCATCATCATCATCATCATCATCATCATCATCATCATCAGCATCATCATCAGCATCATCAGCATCATCATCATCATCGTCATCGTCATCGTCATCGTCATCGTCATCATCGCCATCATCATCAGCATCATCAGCATCATCATCATCATCCTCATCATCATCCTCATCATCCTCATCATCCTCATTATCCTCATCATCATCATCAGCAGCAGCATCATCATCATCACCATCCCAATCCCCACCCCCACCCCCACCCGCATCGTCGTCGTTGACATTATCACCACAACAATCACCATCACCATCATCAACATCATCGTCATCATCAGTAGCAGCATCATCATCATCGTCATCATCATCAGTATCAGCTTCAGCACCTTCATCATCATCATTGTCATCGTCATCATCATCACCATCATCATCCGCATCATCGTCATAATCAGCATCACCATCATCATCAGCATCATCATCAACATCATCATCATCAGCAGCATCATCATCAACATCATCATCATCAGCAGCATCATCATCATCAGCAGCATCCTAATCATCAGCAGCAGCATCATCATCACCATCAGCATCAGCAGCAGCAGCATCATCGTCATCAGCATCATCGTCATCAGCATCATCATCAGCATCATCATCATCGGTATCGTCATCGGCATCGTCATCACCATCACCATCATCAGCAGCAGCATCCTTATCATCGTCATCAGCATCATCAGCAGCATCATCAGCATCAACAGCATCAGCAAAATCAGCATCAGCATCCTCATCCGCAGCATCAGCATCATCATCAGCAGCAGCATCATCATCGTCATCAGTCATCAGTCATCAGCATCATACTCAGCATGATCAGCATCGTCATCATCAGCATCGTCACCAACAGCATCACAATCATCAGCGTCATCATCGGCAGCATCAGCATCGTCGTCATCAGCATCAGCATCACTAGCAGCATCATCAGCAGCATGAGCATGAGCATCATCCTCATCATCATCAGCAGCAGCCTCACCATCATTAGCAGCAGCACCATTATCACCATAAGCAGCATCCCCACCATCAGCATCACCAGCATCAGTATCATCATTAGCATCAGCATGGTCATCATCGCCATCAGCACCACCATCAGCATAATCAGCATCAGCAGCAGCAGCATCGTCACTATCAGCATCAACATCACCACCATCATCAACAGCAGCATCGCCTTCATCCATCACATCAGGATAATACTCAGCCATCTCGCCATCACCGTCACCATCCTTGTCGTCAACACCATGAGCAGCAGCGTCAACACTACCATCAACATCATTAGCAGCAGCATCATCACCAGCACAACCAGTATCACCAGCAGCATCATCATGTGCATTAGCATCAGCGTCACCACCATCAACATCACCATCATCATTATCAACCTCATCATCACCAACAGCAACAACATCATCATCACCATCACCGTCATACTATCGGTCTGAGCCGTCGCCGTCGCCGTTGCCATCGAAATCCCCATCGTCATCGGCATAACCAACAGCATCAGCATGATCAGCAACGACAGATGTACCGTTAGCAACACCATGAGCACCATCGTCGTCACCACCATCATCAGCATCATCGCCAATCGCATTACCATCATCCCCCACGGCATCATGATGTTGTCCCTACACCTTCTCGTCCTCCTCGTGCCTCATCGTCTTTCCCTGTTATTCCTCCCCATCCTCCTCCCTTCTGTTCCTCCTCCTTCGCCTCCTCCTCCTCGTCCTTCTCCTCCTCCTCCTCCTCCTCCTCCTCCTCCTCCTCCTCCTCCCCTTAAGAACTCCTCCTCCTCCCCTCAAGAACCCCTCCCCCTCCCCCTCCCCCAATCCGCTTATCATTCCTTCCCTCCTCGGGGAAGAATGTGGGCGCAAGAAAGGGGGCCGTCCTGCACTGGCGAGGCCCCTTGGTACGACTACCCAGAGATGGCCACAAGAGGCCCCACGGGGCCGTCGAGAGGCCCAAGGACGCCACCCAGAGCCATCTCAGGGACCCCCGCAAGGCTCCCATCTCCTCTGCGCCATGAGTTGTTTCGTCTTATTATAAGTGTTCTTACGAGTACACGCAGTAGCATTAGCATTATTATGTGTATGACTGATACTAGTTATAGTCGCATAAAAAGCATTACGAGTCCTATACGTATGCTTACGAACAGTATGATTGTTACTGGTAGCATTATGGCTTTCCGTTGTATGTGCTTATAATCAGTACTAATGTGACTATTAGTAGTCACCTTCTTATTCGCTTGTGCATCCTTGGTTGTAGTAATACAATGTGGTGATATGAATATTCGTAGTACTATGTGTCGTATCCCTCTCCCTCCTCCTCATCATCTTCCTCTTTTTCCTCCCTCTCCTCCTCCTCCTCCTCCTCCTCCTCCTCCTCCTCCTCCTCCTCCTGTCTCTTGCTCTCCCGACTGCTCCCCATAGGGGTTCCACAGCGGCTGGGGAATACATAGTCCAATAGCTTTGCCGAACTTTGGCCCAACGTGTGGCCGCATGGGCGTCTCAAAAAGGCAGGGGGCGGCGGTGATTCGCAGTAGGCGTCTTCGATTAACGCTTAGGAGCTTGATGCTGATGCGAATATCACAGACACTGAGCTGATGAATTTCCCACGACGGATAGATAGACTGGCAAAAAGCTCCGATAAGGTCAGGGTCACTGGTCAGAGCACCTCAACATAAGTCGCCCGTGTCGCCCGCCAGGCTGTGACGAGAAATGCACTGCAGACCCACAAGCCGAAGCGCACTGGGGACTCTGCGCCAAACTTCATTGGCGCAAGCGCTGCACAGTGCAATATGTGCGCTAAGTCTCCCAGCAATCGTCCACGTCACGCGAGAAACACTAAGATCTACGTTTCGCCGCCTCCCTCCATCCTTCTCTTCGTCCTCCCTCCCTCATCCATCCCGCCTCAGGCGTCTTCAGCCTCCTCCCTCCCCTTCCGTCCTGTTCTAGCTCTCCCCGTAGGCCCCGTGTTAGTGGCCTCGAAGTTGGAGATGAGCCAGTCGCACTCCGTGTGAAGATCCTTGATCTCGACATCCTTCAGGTACGCCTCCTGAGAGAAACGACGGAAATGAGCAGGAGGATTCACCGGCGGCCACTCGCGGAAAGCGCACAGCGGGGTCAGAAACAAGTCGCATGCCCCTTCCGCCCCTCCCCCTGCAGAAAACAAGGGCTCCCAACTTCGCACTTCGCGCTGCGCGAAGCGCGAAGTGCGAATAACTTCGCGCTCTCGCGCTGCCTCCCAGGGGAAAAAAGGAGGAGAAGGAGGAATCGGAACCGAACCGCGAGGCGCGAAGCGCGAATAACTTCGCGCCCTCGAAGGAGCCCTTGGAAGCCCTCCCCCCTCCCCTATGCTTAAGCCGGGCGTGTCCACCTACAGGGGGATTTTCGACGAAAACTTCCAAAGACCAGACAAATACCCCAAAATGGCCAAAAAATGTTGAAAAAATTGTTCCCTGACTATTTTTTGCCTGTTTTTGAATATTCCCCCTGTAGAGGGACCGGCCTGACTTAAGGTTACATACAGCGTTTGTTTTGCAGACTCGGGAAATCAATTCTGCAGTCGATCCCCTACTCGGAGGATGAACAAATCATCCTGGGGGAAAGCACCACGGTCCAGGACACCAGGCCTCGGCCGCGCCTTCCAAGAGGCAGGGGTGCTTCTAAGGATGAAGGGGAACTGGGACACACAAATAAATACACACAAATAAAATGATTCCCCATATTTTCCCATATTTTCTGGGTTTTTGTCTTCCCCCCCACTTCCCATATTTTCCCATATTTTCTGGGAATCGCAAATTAATTGTGTCTGTGTGTTTTTTTCCCTCCTGAAAGGAGCCCCCCCCCCCCTTTATGCCGCCCCATCTGCGCGTGGCCGGCCTCCGCGGGGCCGACCTGCCGATCGGACCCGACCGCGCCCTGCGCGCGGCCGCCTCCCGAAGCCACGCGCGCCCATAAAAAAACGCGCGCCGCCGCCGCCGCGCTCTCGCCTCCGCCGCTGGCCTCGAGCCCCGAGCCTCGAGCCTCGAGCCTCGAGCCTCGAACTTCGATCCTCGAGCCTCCAAGCCTCGGGCCTCGGGCCTCGGGCCTCGAGCCTCTGGCCTCGAGCCTCGATGGACCGCCGAGCGTCCGCTGGCGGAGCCGCCCCCCCGCTCTGCTCCCGCCGCCCTCCGCGCCGGCCCGCCGCCGCCCTCCGCCGAAGCAGGCGCGCCAACATGCCTCGGGCCCCCGAGTGCCGGGGGGCGGCCGAGAGGGGGGCGGCCGAGAGGGCGGGGGGGCGTCCAAGAGAGGGGGGGGGGGCCGAGAGTGCCGAGGGCGGCCGAGAGGGCGGGGGGCGTCCAGGAGGGCGAGGGGCGTCCAAGAGGGCGTCCAGGAGGGCGGGGGGCGTCCAAGAGTGCCGAGGGCGGCCGAGAGGGGGGCGTCCAAGAGGGCGGGGGGGGGGGGGGGGGGCAAATCATGGCCGGCGGCACGTGCGCGGCCCCCAAAGGGGGGCGGGGGGGGCCAGGCACACAGCGAAATGGGAAGAGAGGCGCCACGAAGCCCGACGACGAAGTAGCACGGCCCACGCCGTGAGATCCCCCCGCCCCAGTCTCATCACCCTCTTGGCCGCCCCCGAGATGCGTGGGGCGGCCAGCTGGAGCGCCCCTGGGGAAACCGAAAGGTACCAATACCGCTACTCCCCGGACCTCTCCTGGGGTGCGCTCTGACCAGGATTTCGAGGCGAATCCAGCGGTGGCGACGCCGGATGCCCAGGAGGCCCAAAACGGGGAAAACGAGGTGAGGGTAGAGGTATGGGTAGAGGTATGGGTAGGTACCTTTTCCTCCTCTGAGCCCCGCGCGGCGGCGGTGGGCGCCTTGGTGGTGTCCTTCGCGTCCTGCTGCAGCTTGATCAAGGCGGCCTTCGCACGGCGCAGGCGGCCGCAGGCGGCCCCCGGGCGCGGCGCGGCCCTGCCCCCCTCCCCTCCTCCCTCCTCCCTCCTCCTCCTCCCTCCTCCTCCCCCCCTTCCTCCTCCCCCCCCTCCCTCCCTCCTCCCCTCCTCCCTCCTCCCCTCCCCCCATCCTCCCTCCTCCCTGCCTCCTCCCTCCTCCCCTCCCCCCATCCCCCCTCCTCCCTCCTCCCCTCCACCCCTGGGCGGCCCGCCAACGCCGCTGGAGCTCGAGGGGGCGCGGCGCTCCACGGCCCGGCTCTCGGCGGCGCGCCCCAGGGGGGGGGGGGGGCAGAGGCCCAGGGGCGGGCCTCCCCTCGGAAGGCTCTCGGCAGGCCTCCGGCCTGCTCGGGCGCTCTCTCGGGGGCAGCGAGCAACGACAGGAGTTGAAGGTCGCTGGGGGGGGCAGCGTTGTTTCCAGGGCCAGATCCCCGTACGCTCGGCGGGCGCGCTTGATCGGTCAACAGCAATCCTTGCCGCCGCCCCTCGCGAGAAGCTCTGATTTCAGGCTTGCGCTTGCCCATGATTAGGCTGCTCATGCTTGCTCTTGCCCTACAAAACCATTGCCCTCTCCCCCGTCGCCCCAGAAACACAGACCGCGTTCGCTGCCCCTCAGCGAGCTTCAAGACAGGAGCACAAAAACTTCGGCGGCAGGCCGAGGGGGGAAGTGAGAGGCTCCTGCGGAAGGTTCCTTGCGGTCGGGCCCCCACTGTACGGGGTGGTGGGTGGGACCCTCTCTCCTCCTGCCCTTGGCTCGGACGGCCATCTCAAGGCGCAAGACGTTCGAGATTGCTGATGTGACGGCGCAGGCGCATGGTTGCTGCTTTTGGTCGATTCGGCCTCCGGGCCAATTGGACGAGCTTCGGGTGCACGCCGAGGGGGGGAAAGAGAGGGGGGCGGGCCTCCCTGGAAGGCGGCGGGGCTTCTCAGAGGCCCTCCAGCCTTTGAGAACCCCCATGTGGCTCCGGAGAAGGCTCAGAAATGGGGAAGGAACATCGACATAAACACAAAGAATCGGAGGTCCGCGCGGATTTCTCGGATCCGCGCTCGACCCCCCTCCCTGGCGCGCGGAGCGCGCCAGGGGCGGCGCCGGAGGCGCCGCCAGGGGTGTCCAGCGCGGATCAAAGGCCGGAGGTTCTCCGAAGAAGCCACATAGGGGTTCTCAAAGGCCGGAGGGCCTCTGAGAAGCCCCGCCGCCTTCCGACGAGGCCCGCCCCCCTCTCACTTCCCCCCTCGGCGTGCACCCGAGGCTCGTCCAATTGGCCCGGAGGCCGAATCGACCAAGAGCAGCAACCATGTGCCTGCGCCGTCACATCAGCCATCTCGAACGTTTTGCGCCTTGAGATGGCCGTCCGAGCCAAGGGCAGGAGGAGAGATGGTCCCACCCACCACCCCGTACAGTGGAGGCCCGACCGAAAGGAACCTTCCACAAGAAGCAGGACGTCCATTGATGTTTGGTATGGCAATGTAGCGCCTTTCATAGCAAAACCATCGAAACCCAAGAAACGCAAGAAACCCAGGGCACCCTGGAGGCAAGCAGGGTGCTTCTTGAAATTGGCCCTCCTCCTCCTCCTCCTGCTCCTCCTCCTCCTCATCCTCATCATCATCATCATCATCAGCGGCGTCATTATCATCATCATCACCATCATCATCATCATCATCATCATCATCACCATCATCCTCATCATCATCAGCAGCATCATCAGAATCATCATCATCATGATCATCATCATCATCAACAGCATCATCATCATTATCATCATCATCATCAGCATCATCATCATCAGCAGAAGCAGCATCAGCATCAGCATCATCATCATCAGCATCATCATCATCAGCAGCAGCATCATCTTCATCCCTCCTCCTCCTCCTCCTCCTCCTCCTCCTCCTCCTCCTCCTGGTGCGGAAGTCCATGCCGCATCCGTAGCAGGTAGAGCCGGTTGCCCACGAGATGGGATGTTCCGAAGCAGTGTGGTCCTTGGTGATGTGGGCTTGCAACACTGCTGCGCTGGGCTCTGTGCGTCCGCAGTGGTAGCAGATGTACTTGCGCTGCGGCTCGAGGTGTTGGTCTGGGAAGGGCGAGATGGCTTCCGTGTTGGTCCAGCGCTGGAGTCGGAGCCGCCATCGGGCGTGGTGGTCGTGGTCGTACTGGCGGGCTTTGCCGCGATGGCAAGCTCTCTTGACTGCGTTGAAGTAGCTTCCGTAATCGATCCTGGCCCAGTCCTTCCAGTCGTCAAGAGTGTAGGCCCCACCTCGCTCGTCAGGTCCTGTGTGGTCGCGGATCCAGTCCAGGTCGCGGCGCAACAGGGCCACCCAGCCGTAGTTCCCGCCCCAGGCCTGGCTGAGTAGACGGCGGAGGTGAAGAGGACCCCAGTTGAGGCACCTTCCAAATAGCCGAAGCCTCTCGAGGCGCAGGACGATCTCGGGGGGGAGCTTGTCTACTCCCTCGAGCACCTGGATGTTGGTGACCTCCTTCGGCTGCCGCACCTTCCATGTGATCCTCTGCGCGGCAGCGTAGTTCACGATGTACTGGTTGTTGAAGTTCCTGGTCTGGCCTGCTGTGAGTTCGGGCCACGTAGACGCGTTGTACAGCAGCTGGGAGAGCACCACGCTGTCGGCCAGGTAGGCCTTGTCTTTGACGGCCAGCTCTGAACGACGGTGGACCTCACGGTGGAGAGGCCGCGTGGAGGTCGCAGCGGTAGCCACTTTCACCGCCACATCTACCCCAGGAGATGCATTGTCGGCCACGTAGGTCCCGAGGAGCTTGTGGTGGCGGACGACATCAACGCAGCTGTCGGCAAGGGGGACCGCGATCTTCGGCGCTCCGTTGGAGTAGAAGTTGACCCGCGCTTTCCGGCTGCCAGGTCCGCTGCAGTCGAGCATCACTTTGGTCTTGGTGAGTTGCAGCTGGAGGCCGAATGTGCTGGTGGCGCAGTAGACGGCCTCGCAGAACCCCGAGGCCTCGGTCTGGATGGTCGGCGCTGGTGAACATGTGCATGCCCATGAGGTCGTCGACGAACGAGAGGCCGCGGGGCTCGTGCTCCTGGAGTGGCCCGTCTGCAGGATCGGTGGCGCACGCGAAGCTACTCTCCAAGGGTTTGCCCTGGGCCCGTAGACCTCGCTGCTCGAGGTAGCTATCGAGCATTCGGTGGACGCGGCCGAAGAGCAGATTGAAGTCAGCGTCGGCGAGAGGCACACCAGGCCTCGTGCCTTTGTGCGGCGCCATGAAGTTCTGGGAGAAGCGGCGCGATGTCCACCTGTCGCGGTACCCCTCGGCAGTGAGGGCGGCCAGGTGGGAACCATCCAGCACGGCATCGAGTACCCCTGGGTTGGCCATCAAGTGCTCCAGCTGCGGCTGGGCCCACAGAGGAACTTCTAAGTTGTCGAGCACCTCCCTGACCTCGTCCTCTTCGCCTGGGATGCCGTGGACCAGCTGGACGACAACCGAGTAGAAGGCCTCCTTCAGGTCGTAGCAGCTGATCATGGAGCACTTCCCTTGGGCCTGGCTCCTCTCAGTGAAGAGGCGAGCTGCTAGGACCGCCATGTCGGCTCCTCGCTTGGGCCGGCCGCCGACCTGGATGTCCTCCAGCGCGATGGCGAGGGTGACGTTGAGCATGGCCCTCAGGTACTTGTGGTGGTGCTTGCCCAGGACGTTGTTCAAGAGGATCTCACGGTAGGCGAGGAGGTAGCGGGGGTCGCTCTTGCCCTTGGGGATGGCGACCAGGTCTCCGCCCTCGAAGCTCAGCGGCTCCCGAACCGTGGTCGACACCTTGGTGAAGAGCGGGTGGAGTAGCGCAGCCGCCTCTGCAGGTGCCGCCCTGAGGACGGCGTTCGTGAGCCCGTCAGGGCCTCCTTGCGCCCCAGCCTTGGCCGAGGCCAGCTGGGCCTGGCAGACGGACAGGGGCATCGCCATGGAGAGGTCCAGCGTGCCCTCGAAGGGCCTGGCCTGGCTGTCCTGGTTGTACTTGTGGGTGAGGTCGCTCGCCGTCACGATCTTGCCTGCCTGTATCTTCGCAAAGTGGTTGAGCTCCTGGTCCGCCATGTCCTGGGAGTTGTGGACCACCTCTCCGTTCTGATCCAGCCGCAGCGGCTTGCCAGCTGGAAACCGCGCCTTCTTGCCGCCGCACCTCAGCAGGTCCCGATAAGCCTTCCACTGAGCCGCCGCATCGTTCGCAGCAGAGGCGGAGGACGCAGTTGATGCCAGCCGGCCGAGGAAAGCGCTGCGGTCCTTCTCGACGGCCGAGGCAATGAGCGGCCCAGACCTAGCGAGGAAAGAATGGATGGCCATGGCGTAGTCCATGGGCGAGATCATCCAGTTCAGGAAGAGGTGCGCGTAATAGTGGATGTCGTGGATGATGCCGTCGTCGTCGCCACGCTCTGTGCTCCACAGGGCCAGTGAAGCGCCGACCTCACCTCCAAGAAGGGAGTGGGCGTGGGCCACTATTCGGTCAGGGCGATCGTCGCGGGCTTCTCCTCTAAGCACTGCACGGTGGGCACGAAGTGCGAGGCGCCTCGCTCGGATGAGGCCCATGGTGATCTTGGTGACGTAGGGCTTCCGAGCTGTCTTGACGGCCTTGCCGAAAGCCTGGATGGCCGCGCTGTTGACGACTTTGGTGACCTCCTCGCAGCGGGCGTTGACGTCCACATCCCAGGGGTTGATCGGGGCCTGCTTGAGAATCTCCTTGAATCTATTCTTGGCGTCATCGTTACTTAGGTTGGTCAAGTCGGGCCGCGGCCCTGAGGCCTTCGTGGTCTTGCTGACGCCCACTTGAGGGTGGCGAGTACTGGTATGTGGTCTTGTGCAGCGGTGCCTCGGTCAAGCCCTGGCTCCGTGCTGCAGCTCGTCACGTACGAGGCGATAGAGGAGCTCACCAGGATGTAGTCAATCCGGTGGCACTGCCCCTTAGATCCAACGTGCGTGAACGAGTTGGTTCCTGCATCCTTCGTAGTGTTGATAACTTCCATGTCGGTGT